ATGTATGGCATATTCTCCTCCTGTGTCCATCTATTTTCTCAGATTTGAATAGCAATATATAGAAAACATAAGAACAGCATAAAGTTCATAATAGGAAATTATGGATTTAAGAAGCATGACGTGTTTTAAAAGGATGGGTTTCATGGAGATTTTTCTCTTTTTCCATTTATCAAATCTTTTAATTTTCAACTTGACTTGTATGTGTTCTTAAGCTGTTAGGATATTTAATTTAGTAAATGATTCACTTTTGAATACAGTCAGCTCTCAGGGAGCCAATTTTTGAATTATGTATTATTTATAGGATACTTTTAAGCTTAGGCTAGATTTTCCCCCCTCTCTCTGTGGTTTTTTGTTTGTGTTCTTTAGGAAGGGAAAATTGATTATAATGTCTGCCCAATTAAATAAACAACAACATGTGAATCTGATACACAGCAGAAAACAAGGACAGACTAAACATATAAAGCATTCTAAAATAAGATTGGTTATTTGTGAACTCTCCATTCTCCCCTGTCATCAGAATGACTAAACGTCCTTTGTACTGACTACCTGTCAAGTTTAAAGTGGCCTCCTTTAAATCCAGGGTGGGGCAAAAGTAGGTCTGCAGTTGTTCCTATGGAAAATAATACAACAATTAATAATGCTACAAGGATAAACTTTCGCAGACTCACAACTGTAAACCTACTTTTGCCCCCTCTCTATTTAAAGAGAGCCCAGAAAAATGATGATAATAAAAAAGAAGTGAAAGATCCTGATGTTCTTCTGACATAATTATTACTTTATCTTTCCTGGAAGCTAAGAGAAGCCAGTCTATCAGCAACTGTGTCCAACTTTCTGAGGCTTTGCCTGCCACTAAAAGCGTCCCGCTCCTCCTTCACACCGTGAGCGCTCTCTTACCTGGTCTCTCTTACTCCTCTTGCTCTCACAGGCTGTCAGGTACTGTAATGCTTTCTCATGTGTCTGTCAGTGTTCTGGGCGTCTCCTGCTTGCCTCCAGGCCTTGCTTCCTTTGTTAATATCCCCACATCACGTATGTGCGCCTGGGCATTGCACTTTGTGCTTATTTTCAATGAATACTAATAGGTCTTTATATGTAGTTAAATGTTTAATAGCAATTAATAATCAAGAAAATTTTCTGTAGCACTACTGATCTTTGCATTCCCAGTTAAGAAGGATAAGAGGATTGTTTTGGCCCCTAGGTTTTTTGTTTATTTGTTTTATAATAAAACAGAGGTGTTATTTTTTTTAAAAAAATATATATTTTTATTGATTTCAGAGAGGAAGGGAGAGTGAGAGATAGACACATCAATGATGAGAGAGTATCATTGATCGGTTGCCTCCTGCATGCCCCACACTGGGGATCGAGCCCGCAACCTGGGCATGTAACCTTTACCGGGAATTGAACCCTGGGCCCTTCAGTCCACAGGCCGATGCTCTGTCCACTAAGCCAAACCTGTCAGGGCTGGCCTATTGTTTTGAATGGAGAGAAACAGTGATGCCTCCCTCAGCATACCTTCTATACAGTGCCTAGAAAATGGAAGGAGATTTTCATAAAATTTTATAAAACATTTGAGCATGTCAATGTTAGAATGCTTGCTGTGCCTTCCCCAACATGAATACTCTGGAAAAATTATACAGGCAGGACTTCCTTAATAAATGGTAATCACATATAAAGTAATGATCAGTTTATGCAGATTCATACTGAGTATTAAGATTTGAGTAAAAAAACAACATTGCTAAAGACTGATAATTTTTCAAACAAAGAAAAATTGTTTCTGGGCTTTAGCCAGTTAAAATTGAGTTTAGCTGCATGTGGTTTGTACACTGTGTGTTTTCTGGTTACTAAAACATTATAGATTTTGGGCACAACAAAAGGATTTACTTAGCTTTACAGTTAAGTCTGCCTGTTTTTTCAGTGTTTCTAAGATGAACTCAGTCTTCTTGCTAAAGACGAAATATTTCCATGTTCTTTTTTATTTTCAGAAAGATGGCATTATATATTAGTATTTATTTAATATTGGCTATGGCCTAATTGTGGCTTTCTATAGCACTAAATCATGTCATACTGTGGCTTAGCAATGCATAATTAAAGCTGAATTCCCCTGATGAGTATGTAAAATATCATGTTATTTAATTTATAGGATATGAAAGCAAAAGATAGTTTTATTGAGAATAAAGACTATGGTTCTTAGAAAAGTCTTTTTCTCTAGTAAATACCTGAGGTGAAAGACATTAAAATGGTACCTGGGAATATGGGCACCGGTCATTTAAGTTAATGTACATTAACTGCTTGATAACTTGTTTTTTAAAAAAAAAATACTACTACCTAGAGTTGATTACTGAAATATTTAAAATAGTTTTGCTTTCTATTTGGCTGATATACACCCAAAATAATTTTTTTTCATGGTTTGAAGTTTTATTTTTTCACAATCCATTTTTCTCCCCATATTATTTCATTTAAGTTTTCACAAGTTTGTCCAGAATATATTCTCAGAAGAAATCTCTTCCTGTTAGTCATCTCATTTTGGAGACATTTCTCTCATTCAGTATTACATTTTAGTTTACTCAGATTCTTGATTCCCATATATATGTACACTGTTCCAACAGATGTTGAATATGACTTAGAGCAGTGGTTCTCAGCTGGGGGTGATTTTGCCCTCGGGAACATTTGTCACAGCCTAGAGATGTTTTGGATTGTCACAACTGGAGCAGTGCCATTGATATCCAGTGGGTGGGAGCCAGGGATGCTGCTAAACATTTACAGTGCACAGGACAGCCCCCACACAAAGAACGATCTGACCTGAAATATCAGTAGTGCTGAGGTTGAGAGACCCGATTTACAGTGAAATGAAGTGGGCCAGTGGCGGGAGTGTGTTTCCCTGCCTTTGGCACTCTTATTCCTGGTTTTATGGCACAAAAGGTAGAGAGACTTTGCAGCCTAGTGACTTTGAGAACAATCTGCTGTGTGTTCTGATGTTTAGTCTGACAACAATAGTGAGTTCCTCCTTAGTCTGTTGCCATTTGTTCTTCACTATTAAAGTGATGCCATTGTCTTTTTTATTTTTATTTTTATTTTTTACAATTTTCATCCCATTTATTTTTGTGTGTGAAATGGTTATTACCAAGTCTATATAAGCTTAGGATTCCACTTAAAAGAAGTATTTTCATGAAAGCCTTCAGGGCTCAGTTGTATGTCCTATATCGGGGAGTAGCACTGAATTTGGCACAGGACTTATGACCTTACTTACAGCTTTCAAGAAATCCTCTCACTAGCTATTTTTCACCATGCTCTGACGAACAAACGCACCAGCTTCTGTGCAGACACTTCTAATCTCAGCACCAGTGCTATCTGGACACAGTCACACCAATAATTCAAATCTGGTATCTCTTTCAACACTCATTTAATCTGCATGAATCTTAAATCTCTAGAATACCCAGCCCAGAAGATTTGAGAGATTGCACCACTGGGTCCCACAAAACATCCTATATAATAAAACCCTAATATGCAAATTGACTGAACGGCGGAACAACTGGTCACTATGATATACACTGAACACCAGGTGGCAGACGCTCAACGCAGGAGTTGCCCCCTGGTGGTCAGTGCGCTCCCCCAGGGGGAGCACCACTCAGCCAGAAGCCAGGCTCATGGCTGGAGAGTGCAGCAGTGGTGGCAGGAGCCTCTCCCGCCTCCGTGGCCATGCTAAGGTCCACTCGGGGGATGTCCATGCACATAGTGGTCCTTAGTCTATATAAGACAAACTCAAAAAAAATATGGGTGACATAGTGTGATCTAATACATAGAAACAAACACAAAGAAACAGGAAAATGGGGAGACAAGGGAATAGCCCACATACAAAAGAAAAGGAGGAATCACCAGAAAAGGAAGTAAATGAAACGGAGGCAAGCAATTTGTCAGAGAAAGAATTCAGAGCAATAGTCATGAGGACACTGAAAAGGATGGAAGACAAATTCAACATGTGTAAGCATCAAGAGGAAATGAAGAAGAGCCAGGAAAAAATGAAGAATGACATACCTGCAATAAAAAACACAATGGAAAGTACCAACAGTAGACTAGAAGAAGCTGAGGACTGCATCAATGAGCTAGAAGACAAGGTAGAAAAAAACCCCCAAACAGAGCAGCAACTGGGAAAAAAAACTTAAAAGGCAGGAGGACAGCCTAAGGGAGCTTTGGAACAACAAAAAATGAAACAACATCTGCATAATAGGGGTGCCAGAAGGAGAGGAAACTGAGCAAGGAATAGAAAACTTATTTGAAGAAATAATGACAGAAAACTTCCCTGATATTGGGAAGAAAAGACTCACACAAGTCCAAGAAGCACACAGAGTCCCAAATAAAATCAACCCAAAAAGACAAACACCAAGATACAGCATAATTAAATTGGCAAATGCCACGACAAAGTAAGAATCTTAAAGGCTGCCAGAGAGAGACAGAAAATTACCTATAAGGGATCTCCCATTAGACTATCAACTAATTTCTCAACAGAAACACATCAGGCCAGAATGGAATGAAATATACAAAGTGATGCAAAACAAGGAACTGAATCCAAGAATACTTTACCCAGCAAGGCTATCATTCAAAACTGAAGATGAAATCAGGAGCTTCACAGACAAAAAAAGGGCTAGGGGAGGTTTTTTTTTCTGTTTGTTTTTTTGTTTTTTGTTTTAAATCCTCACCTAAGGATATGTTTTCCATTAATTTTTAGAGAGAGCGGGGAAGGGGTGAAGAGGCAGAAACATTGATGTGAGAGACACATCAATTGGTTGTCTCCCACATGCACCCTTACTGGGCCCGGGGATGGCACCTGCAACTCAGGTATGTGCCCTTGTCTAGAAATCAAACCCTTGATCCTTTGGTGTGTGGGCCAATGCTCTAATCACCGAGAAACACTTGCCAGGGTTAGTGTCAGGCTCTTTAATATGAGTGAGTTCATTAATTTTCTTGAGAGGTTGTTGAATGTCATCTTCAACCTGCTTGATCTTCCTAGATTCATTATACAAAATATATTGAGTACATAGTACAAAGTGTGAGACAAGGCCAAGAACTGTATGTATACTTACAAAGCAGGAAATTGGGATAGGTAGAATTTCAATTTCTTTTTTCCCCACTGTATCACTTAACAGTCAACTGCAGGAATAGCTTAGGATACCAATAGCACAACAGCCCTCACAGCACTTTTGCCAATCTGACAAATAGATAGGTAAGAGCTCTGACCATAAGTTTCAGCAAAGCATTCTCACCCTCATCCAGAGCTTGGGTGGGCTTGTCATCCTCATCCTCTCCATTTTCCCACTGATTCGCACTGAGGTAATTGGCATTTTAGGAGATCAAACTGCCTCCACTCTGTAGTAATTACACAGCCCATGCCATTGTCTTGTGGCTGTACTGTCGAGAAACTGAGTGGAGAGCATTGCATATCAGTCCTCAGTCTTAGATTGTACTTTCTCCACTGGTCAGCACACTAGAGTCTTAAATTTGTGCTCCAATTTAAATCCTAGTGTGTCAGCACATCTTGCTAACCTGTTGCTAAAAATCTAGAGAAAGGTATATTTACCTATACATAATATGCAGATCCATTTAATGTTGACTTTCTGGCCACAAGTTTTTTACTACAAAAATGATTGCTAATTTTTTTTGTTTAAATCAACATTGCTTTTTTTTACAGAGAGGAAGGGAGAGGGATAGAGAGTTAGAAACACCTAAGAGAGAGAAACATCGATCAACTGCCTCCTGCACACCTCCTACTGGGGATGTGCCTGAAACCAAGGTACATGCCCTTGACTGGAATCAAACCTGGGACCCTTCAGCCCACAGGCCGACGCTCTATCCACTGAGCCAAACGGGTTAGAGCAACATTGCTTGGTTTTGTTTCTAATCTATATAACTATTCAACCCACCAAATTGTGTTAATATAAATATTAACACAAAAGAAAATTCCTTGCCTTCAGCCACTATGATTTCTTATTCTGGTCCCTTTGTGACTTTATTTGGCTGAAGCAGAATTTTGGGAAAGTCGCAACCACCTGTAGGCCATTAATGTGAATAGCTACAGTAGCAAACATGTGGGAGGTAGAATTGAGTTTCTGTGATTGCCCTTTTTCTCTTTTGTGGGAACAATTCTTTGCAGTTGTTTTGCAATCTTACTACTTTTATATTGGGATATTTATTAGTCTATAGCAGCAATTTTCAACCTTTTTCATCTCATGGCACACACATAAACTAATTACTAAAATTATGTGGCACACCAAAAAATGGATTTTTTGCCAGTCTGACAGAAAGATAGATATAGTTTTGATTCATTCATACTAGACGATTTTTGTTGTGTTGGCAGCTGTCATATTTTAATTTGACACTCTAAGACAGCGGTTCTCAACCTGTGGGTCGCGACCCCTTTGGCGGTTGAATGACCCTTTCACAGGGGTCGCCTAAGACCATCCTGCATATCAGATATTTACATTACGATTCATAACAGTAGCAACATTACGGTTATGAAGTAGCAACGAAAATAATTTTATGGTTGGGTCACAACATGAGGAACTGTATTTAAAGGGCCAGAAGGTTGAGAACCAAGGGAAAAGAGGTCAGTGCCCCTGGCTACATAGTCAGGTAATCGCACGTTTTAAAAATTCTTGGGGTACATAGTTTAAAACCACTGGTCTATAGTGCTTACAGGTCATGCACATGATCGATTTTCTTTTAGGAACATTGTAATAGCAGTAATTAGAGAACCTGTGATCTTCCCTCATCTAAAAAGAGGCTCAATGGAACCTAATCGAAGGCCTCACTTAGCTGCTTCTGCGACTGGTTCTCAGGCTCCCAGGTAGCACCTCTTCGATGGTCAGGAAGTGCTATTGTCAGGAGCGGGCTGACTCACCTTTGGGCCTTGGGGAGACATCAAAGTGCTGAGTTGGTTTACATCTCTTGTGGTTTTACAGGGGCAGGTTGGCATCTGGTATTGTGCGCAGTGCTTTAAAAGATAGGAAATTAATATAAATTTTGCTTATGAAATCCAGAATTTTGGTTATTGGAGAATAAGTCTCACTCATTCTTTGAAAAGTGGTCAGATATCTGGAATAAATAGAAGTTTCTGAAGAGCTTACACACTTAATTTAATTTAATCATGCTGATTCTTTTCTCAGTGGGAAAAATGAAATTAAGTAATCCTTATTTGATCAGTTTTCTGGTGTTTTGAGTGGAACTTTAGAAAGCAATGGTATTGTGTAACATACTCTCAAGAAGCTAGAAAGTGCATTTAAAATTAGGGCTATTGGGTTAGTTATGCTTGAGAGGAAATGAATAATATGGAGAATTTGAGGTAGAATTTAGTTCTTTGAACTGATTCAAACAGAAATTGTGTTATATTCAAAACAGAATGCATTAGAATTCCCAGAATTTATAATATAATTATAGATTTTTTTCTATTTTGAATATAGGATAATTCTTTTTTTAAGATTTTTTATTGATTTCAGAGAGGAAGGGAGAGGGAGAGAGAGAGAGAGATAGAAACATCAATTATAAGAGAGAATCATGGGTTGGCTGCCTCCTACATGCCCCTATGGGGATTGAGCCCGCAACCTGGGCATATACTCTGACCGGGAATCGAACCTTGACCTCCTGGTTCATGAGTCGATGCTCAGCCACTGAGCCATGCTGGCCAGGCTAGGATAATTCATCTTGATATTTTCATATCAGTGTTAAAATGGTTTTAAATATATTATGAAAGAGTAATTGCTACAACTGATACTGACGGGAGCAGCTTTAATAACTAGTGGCCCTTTTTTAAAAATAAAAGGCCAGTAGAGGGAGCTCAAGACCTGTTTAGTTTTTTGTTGTTTTGTTTTTTAAGAAATGCATCAAGAAAGTGTTTTTGGTGTTGATTTATTCATTTATACAAAACATATATTGATTATATACTTAGTACAAAGTGTGAGAAAAAGCCAAAAAATGTATGCTTACAAATCAGGAAATTGAGATAGGTAGAATTTCACTTTCTTTTTTTCACACTGTATCCCTTAACGGTCAGCTGCAGGAATAGCTTAGGGTAACAATAGCACAGCAGCTCTCACAGCATGTTTGACATAGTTATTCTCCCCTTCCTCCCCATCCGCATCCTGGATGCTCCCACACTCACCACTTCTGGTGATTCCTACAGGCTTGGACTTTCTCCATCTGAGAAGCCCCTACCAACAGTTTTATAAAAATAAAGTCTTAAGGTTGCATCAGGCCTGACTGTTGGGAAGGCAGACCAGCTGGCAATGGCAGGCTCTTCATCCGTCTGTTGTGTTGTGGACCAGTGGGGACACTTGAATTTGGAAGCCACGGTGCTGTGGCTGTATTACATCCCACCAGATGGCAATGTTCTTTATCTTTAAAAAGAAGCTGCCAGTTTTGGCCCAGCTCTTACTTGTCTGCTCATTGTCCAGAAACCAACATCTACTAGTTTTTGGCATCAAATTTAAGTGAATAAAACCCACTATTCCTACTACCCATAAAAACAAGAATTATCCACTTGTTTTTTTAGAGCATTACGCAGCTCTTGGGCTCCCTCTACTGATATTGGATTAACAAGTAGATGCATTAACAAATATAAACTCTTCCCAGAAGGTTTCAGAGTCTTGCATAATCAGAATAAACAGTGCAAGAAGAGAGCCAGAAGGGGCTGGTTGCATGGAGCTCTCTGGCGTCTGTTGCCTGATGCTGCAGAGGCTAGAAATAGACCCGTGAAAAGGACTAGTCTGTGCTTGGGGGGGTGTGGGTAGATCACAGATAGGTACATAGGTCTTGTGTTTTTCTGAGGGCAGTGAACAGTTCTTGGTTGTTCCAGAGAAAAGCAGAGACATCCTGGAAAGACAAAGCTTTAATGGGTTTGTCTGCTCCTATACTTGGCTTTCCTTTGTTTTTACCCTCAGTTCAGCTTCCTTTCGGTGTCTAAACTTAGACTGTGGCCCAGTACCCTGAATTATAAGTAAAGGATCACACAAATTTCGTAGGTGTGAGGTCTGGTAACTTGTATCAGTGTACCTTAAATGGAATTTTTATTTGGATAGCATAAGTAAAGTAGCACTCTTTTGTTGAAATCCTGTCTCACATGTAGAATCTTCCTACATACAACTTCTTGGTTGGGGTGAACCAGAACTTTGGTTCATGGCTCAGATTAAAGGGTTATACAGACGCTGGGACATTGACAGTGAGTCTTGTTTCGGGTAAGGACTTGGGTGACACTGCCAGGTAACATGACACAGGCTGAATTTTGATCAGTTGCTTCTTAGAAGGAGTGAAACTTTAGCTAATTAAACTTTTTGAAAAGATGCTGTTATAGTTATGTGGACGAAAAGTTTCATGATTACTAGAATGTGAGTAAGCGTGCAGTCTGGTGAGGGATGTCATGGTGAGGTTTACACGCAGAACCACATGGTGAAGTCCTGTAGTGGGGGTGCCCAGGCAGTATGGGAGGGGGAGGAGGGAACAGGTGTGAAATTAACATGGAGGAGTAAGCAGCGGGAGGCAGACAGCAGGTGCCACGTGGGCTAGGGTTGCTGGAGACTAATGGGAGCCCCTTGTGCGGGGTCAGTCTGTGGGGTGCGATTAAGGAGAGCCCTGTATTCACTGTGAGGAGCAGGGCTTGACTGCACAATGCTGGAGGACTTCAGATCTTTGTTTTAAAGGGGCCTTTTTGGGGCCAGATAGAGGATAGATATGAGGGTGGTAAGAAAAGGGGGACAGTGACCAGTTAGGGCAGTGATTGCGAACCTTTTGAGTTCGGCGTGTCAGCATTTTGAAAAACCCTACCTTAACTCTGGTGCCATGTCACATATAGAAATTTTTTGATATTTGCAACCATAGTAAAACAAAGATTTATATTTTTGATATTTATTTTATATATTTAAATGCCATTTAACAAAGAAAAATCAACCAAAAATATGACTTCGCGTGTCACCTCTGATACGAGTGTCATAGGTTCGCCATCACTGAGTTAGGAGATTATTATAACAACCAAGGCAAAAGATGTTGCTACATCAAAGCTGTAGTTCTAGAGAGAGAAGGCGGTGTGATCTTCCAGGGCCTTGGGTTGTCTCTGGAGATTAAAGTGAACTGTAACAGTTTAGAATGAGCTAGGAGGGCAGTCATTCTCTACAGCAACTTAAAAGAAAAATCTATTCTTAGAGTAGAATATTAGTGTTAGCAAGTATAGGAAACTTTATGATGTAAACGCACATTACCTTACTGCACAATTTTTGTGGGGAAAAAAGTGTATCTAAACCTATGTTTTTAGAATCAGTTGTTTTAAGTGGTGAACTTACTTAAAAAAATTTTTTAAATACATCTCTATGTGTTTTGTGTTAATACCCACAGAAATGGAAGAATGTCAGCAGTCAGAAAATGCACCTGCAGTCGAGTCTGGCCACCTGGTGGCAGAGCAGCAACCGCGGTTCCTGCGGAGCAGCAGCACACCTGATGTCACTGAGCCGCTGTGCTCTGAGTCCGCTCAGGGTATGGAGTTTCAGTCATTGACACAGAATTGTAGTCTGGCTGGGAAGGAACTGCATGTCGCAGTGCTTTCTACATTTATTCTAACTTTATTTCAAGGGAATTTACTTTTTAAGTTTTATTGTAAGGCAGTGATTTCTGGCATTAAAGTATTTTCACTATTTATTTATTTCTAAAATATATTTTTATTGATTTCAGAGAGTTAGGAAGAGGGAGAGAAAGATAGAAACAACAATGATCTTCTGCCTCTTGCACACTCCATACTGGGCATCGAGCCCGCAACTTGGGCATGTGCCCTGACCGGGAATTGAACCTTGGTCTCCTGGTTCATAGGTCAGTGTTCAACCAGTGAGCCACACCATTTATTTTAATATATTTATCTAAGTTATATTTACATATGTCCAGTTTTTTTCCCAGTGTGGCATGTTTGAGAACTAGAAAGATGTCCAGAGTGGCTTGAGTAGGCATGAAGCCAAGAAGGTTACCCTCCAAGGTCAGGGAGAGCAGCAAGTTAGGTAGAAGGCAGGACAGGATTGGGTGGATGTGAAAAAGGCCATGAGGAGGCCATAGAAGTTGACAGAATGGAAAGCTGCCCAGACCTGTGAAAATTTTATTATCAGCTTATAGACTTTGCTGATGTTGAAAATAACTCGTAATAGCATTAATTTACACAGTTTCTCCAACAACTTTCAGCAACAACCGGGTGTGGAAAGCAAAGAGGCAGATGGTTAGACCTGTAAACAATAAATAATGTATGGAGTTTACAGTGAAAGAGCATGTGTAGATTGTATCTGGTGTCAGTGAACATATTTATCATTAGTTTCATGAGTTACATTAAGAAATAAACCAACTTATTTGTCTACAAGTTATCTCACAGTTCTTAATGTCAGGGTCATGCTAACCTCATCAGATAGTAGGGAAGTATTGCCTCTTAACCAGTTAACTGCCACGATATTTTGAATTTAATGAAAAAAGGTCCACTGCTTGCATCATGGTATACAAATGGTTAAAACCTCTTGAAATAAAACACACACAAAAATAATTTGAAAAATATATTATCTAAAGATTTTCTATTCTTTGAAAGGTTTGTGTAAGATTGTTGTGATTCCCCCGCTGCAATCCCCCACTTATGTATTTTGGTAGAACCCACCATTGCCTGGAGTTTTCTGTAGGAAGGTTTTAAAATACCATTCACATTTTAAAATCATTTTAAGACTATTCAGATTTCCCTTTCCTTTTTTGATTTTGATACTTTTTTTTTCTAGGAATTTGATCAACTCATGCATTTTTTTTTCTCTTCGAATTTATTGGTCCCAGATTACTCACAAGATCCTCTTCTGATCTTCGTAATGTTTGCAGGTGTTGTGGTGATAGTCCCTTTTTAGTGACTGATTCTGGGTTTTTGTTCTTTCTCTAACCAGTCTTTATTCTCGAGAAGTACCAGCCACCTTCCTGGTTTCTTCTTCCTGTCAGCTCACCTAGCTAACTTAGGCAGCTTTTCTCTGAGATCTCCTCCCCAAGGCCAGAACGGGTCTCCTCGCCCTTGCCTGTGCTATCCTAATGAGCCACAGTGAGTGGCATTCAGCCCTTTCTTTTAAAAGTTCTCTGTGGACTTGACCCATACGCTACCAGTTTGCCATACCTATGCCTCCTTTTTATGTATTTTAGAATATCTAAACTTAATAATTGCTTAGATGTAAAAATATTTTACCAGTTTTACTGTCTGAAATATTCCTTCTCTTGATTTTTTTTTTCCACCAAATCTCTAGGTCAAAAGGTAGAAAATGTACAGAATTTGAGTTCTTCTGAGCCGAAGCCTATTCAAGAGAATAAAGGACATGTGAAGAAAGAGTATGAAGGAATAACAGTAAGATATTTTTCAACCAAATTTGTCATTAGAGATAAACACGCAAATTATTGGAACAATAAATAAATTTATTAATGGCAGTGATAGTTTTCTTTTTTAAAAAGTTTTCCGTTTAAACAAGTCATAAGTCTATACAACTTCAATTTCTTTTAAAGTCTTACTTTCTGTATAAAATTATAGTCACATCACAAAAATAGAAAACTTAACATGAAGCAGAATTCACCAGCTGGTGTTTATCTGGCACTCTGTATTTTTAATCAGATATCCTTGCTTTTCAGACATACATTCAGATTCCTTGTTCTTGACATCATTTTAGGTAGTAGCCTCCACCTGGCATGAGTTGCTAGATAAGTCATTTTTTGCAAAGAGCTGATATGGTTTCTTTTCTTAAGAATATGTAAAAGCATTTTTAAAAAACAAATATAAAGTATAAAGAAAAAAATTGAAAAGTAGCCTATTACTCATTTATGCAGATAACTCCTGTTTATTCATTTTTAAAAAAAATGTGGTATATTCATAGAAAACTCAAACATCAGAAGGGTACAAAATAAAAAGAGAAAACCTCTTGCTTGCTTAGAAGATAACCAGTGTAAAGTGTCTTTTGTCTTTATGTTTAAAAAGGTCATATAATAGCTTATATATCTGTATTCTGTATGTATATGTGTATAGTTCAATAATCACATAAACACCTACAAAACAACCACTCAGCTTAAAGTCTAGAACAGTGGTCGGCAAACTCATTAGTCAACAGAGCCAAATATCAACAGTACAACGATTGAAATTTCTTTTGAGAGCCAAATTTTTTCAGCTTAAACTATATAGGTAGGTACATT